CTCAGGGGTCTGGTGTGCACTGTCACACGTGTGCATCCTCTACGAGGGGCTGTGCTTTCGTGCACTTTACAGTACTGTATAGAGTACAGTAGCACAGCATCCTTCTTCCAAACCTAAATGGCCAGAAGCAAGCATTAAGGCAGCAGTGATAGGTATTATAAATCCATTACAGTACAGTACCATACAGCCTATTGTGTTAGTTGGGTACCTAGGCTAATTTTGTTGGATTTAGGAATAAATTAGACTTACAAATGCACTCTTGCAACAGAACTCGTCTGTATGTAGGGGACTTACTGTGTGTTCATTAATCATAGTTGTGATAATAGAATTGGCAGTTGAGCTACTTTTCGCTGTTACTCTCCTTTAAAACTTACAGCAACAGGAAGCCTCTGTGTGGACTGGTATAGCCACCAACTGGGCAGAGCTCTTGCTTCCTCCTCTAGGTTCTCGGCACCTTTTCTTACTTCTGATCCAGCCCTGGCTGCAACGTGTCCCTCATTATCTCTTTGGCCATCTTTTTCCTTCAGAATGAAAACACCCCTCTCTATCCCTGAGCTCTAGCTTATGCCTGGCACCTCATAGGTGCTCAGAATAGTGTCTTTTCTTTTTTTTCTTTCATGAAGGAAGGAATTAATGAATGGAAATTCAGAGATGCTGTCCTCAGGGGGCTTTCCCTGGGGATATGAAACAAAACAACAGAAGATCAATTAGATTGCTCTGACCCACATGTCATCAATATGATGACAGATACCAGCAGTGCTCAGCTTTCCTGATTTACTTCCTGGCAATTTCCCTGGCACACAAGCCAGGTCCCATCATGAAAGAAAGCCAGTGCTCAAGAAAGAGGCATTTCTGTGCTTAGTAGCCTTTCTGATTACAGTTGTCACCTACCATCAGTTTAAGTCATGAAAAATTAGAGTTGGAATTAATGGAAATACATGGTATATGAAGCTATAGTTTTAAGCATCTGGTGTATACTATTCTCTTAGCACTTAATGTAAGAATTCAAATGATCTCTTTATGGGTCTTCTTCTGCTATTAGATAGTAAGCTTTCCACAGGTTTTTATTTTCTTTTTCTAGNAGAAATACACGGTATATGAAGCTATAGTTTTAAGCATCCAGTGTACACTATTCTCTTAGCACTTAATGTAAGAATTCAAATGATCTCTTTATGGGTCTTCTTCTGCTATTAGATAGTAAGCTTTCCACAGGTTTTTATTTTCTTTTTCTAGCAGTGATTATGAGTATGTACCTTGGAATCAGATTTCTGAGATTCAAACCCTATCACTTAATAGTTCTCCCACTTAATAATTGTGTGACCTCAGTTTCTTTATTGGTACACTGGTAAAAATTGGAATCATAACAGTATTAATATATAGGGTCATTAGGAGAATTAAATGAGTAAATGCTTAACATAAGCCACTGTTCTTATTATTTTTATCAACTTTGTGTCCTAGTATCCAATCTTTCAGGGTTTCTCTTGTGGCTCAGTAGGTAAAAAATCTGCCTCTAATGCAGGAGACCACCTCCAATGCAGGAGTTGTTGCTATTCAGTCAGCAAGTCGTGTTTGACTCTTTGCGACCCCATAGACTGCAGCACTCCAGAAGTGCTGTGTTCAAATCACTGGGTTCAATCCCAGGGTTAGGAAGACCCCCTGGAGAAGGAAATGGCAACCCACGCCAGTATTCTCGCTTGGGAAATCCCATGGATAGAGGAGCCTGGTGGGCTACAGCCCATGGGGTTGTAAGAGTTGAACACGACTTACTGACTAAACCACTACAGCTACCACCATTGGGCCTTTCACCCAGTAGCTGTTCAAAAGATGTTTGCTGAGCTGGAAACACAAGCAAAAATATTCCTTGGAGTTGCAAATGATAACAGTGCTATATTTTTGCAAATTCAACAATAGAACACAAAGACAATAAAAACAAAGTTTGTTGTCAAGGAACTGGGAATACACATTATTGTTCTGACTACAACACAAACAAACAAGACTCATAATTCTGGGATCTAAAACGTATCCCAAGAATGGTTATGGCTGCAGATGGCTGACTGGGGAATTCTGAGCGAGGTGCATAATTGCAGTACTGTTGCATCTGTTTGGACGGCTGCTGCACCACTGTGCTCCAATGCGTGCTCCTGGCTGTCCGTGGGAAGGAGATCTGCAAGGTGGGAGCCCTGGCGGGGGCGTGGGGATGAGCAGTGATGGCCGGGGCGCTTCCAGAAAGTGAAGGGAAAGTGAAGTCAGTCAGTCGCAAGGAATAAACCCCAATTGTGGAGTGACCTTAAAGACTTCTGTGACCTTATGCACTCTGGTGGTGAGAGCACCAAGGATCTCTGTTCCCGGGAATTACCATTTCCCACAGCCCAGTCATCTCAAGGGACAACTAATTTCTCTCCTCCCTCAGAAGCAGAGTAGTAAAGTTTTACTCCAAGCGCCACCGTTAATGTAACTGCGCCTTTCCCTGGGTCTTCATGACTTCCCTCCAGCCTCACCTGGCATTCTCTCCATTGTGTCCCCGTTCAAATTCCAGAGGGGAAAGTCCGAGTGACACCCCCCTCCCACGTCCTGATTTTACCCCTGGTCTGTGCATTGACTGCTCCTCGGTCAGGAGTCCCCCAGCCCCTTCCTCCGGCCCCCACCAAGGTTCAGTTAGGGACAGGCCTTTGCTTAAGCCACAGCCTGGTCTCTGCGTCCCTCAGGAGGGCAACAGGTGGGGCAGAGTGCCCGCGGTGAGGGGCAGTCCGCAGTTGACATGTCTGGTCTAATAAGCATTGCTGGGGGGTGGTGCCCCAACGAGAGGGGATGAAGGGTGGGACGGCCACGAGTGGAGGACGAAGGTTCTGGTGTGAGCACGGCGTTGGTCTTTCTCCAGCTCCCTGCTGTCTGCTGGCCCTCCCAGGCAAACGCTCTTCACTGTTCTCTAGAGAGGAGGCGGTTGGTGACTCTGCTTCTGGAACCCTGCCTGCGTGTCTCCATCTGAAATTTTGACTGGTGTTTCTAGGGGTGGAGCTGGGGGCTGGGCTGAGTGGCCTGAGGACTAGGGCACCTCAGCTCTCTCCAATGACAAGGGGAGTAAGCGGGCTTTGGTGGGGGAGTTTCCAGCTGCACATGGGAAGGCATGAGTATGTCAGGTGGGCCCTGATAGCAGCCACTCGGAGCGACAGGGGCTCATTACCATCCATGAAAGGCTCTGCTTAGGGCTCAGCCTGTTTCTTCACTCCCTCCTTCTCCATAAAACATACTCACATTGTATAATTATACACCTTCCATTTCACCTAAAAAAAAGACGAAAATATCCAGAAATATTTCCACTTTAATTGTCACAGGGATAGCATGGCCTGCTGGTTTTCCTGTCTGCTTGATAATTAGGCTGCAGTCTTCTCCCAGCTCTTCACCAGCACCTGGGGCGTGTGGAGCTGGGCGGGTTGCGGAGGGTGGGGTGGAGGGGCAGGCAATTACAATGATGCTGTCTCACCTGCCGCCTCACAAGGGGTGTGTGATTACCTGTGCCCCAATTTTGAGAAGGGGGTCTGCAGCTGAGGTTGACCTTGGTTTGATCTGTCTCCTGGGCAGGGGCTGTTCCTTTGATCTCAGAGTGGGGGAGACCCCCATGTGATACAGCAGATAGGGGCCCAGGGTACCTGCACCCTACCATCACGGATAAGGCTGTTGGCTGGGAAGTGGCCAGGAAGCAGCTGGAGGCAGAGGAGGAAGTGCCCTCCCCCCCACCGCCCCCCATACAGAGATCTGTGATTGGGGTCATCCTCAGCTGCCTGAGAAGGGCTGCCCCTGTCTGCTTTCCATACAGAGTTTCAGACTGCGATTCTAGCCTCCTTTCCCTTCTCAGTCATTGGTCCTCTTCCTGGAAACAAGACGTCAATGTCATTCATCTCTCAGACGTGAGCTTAGGTGTGGGGAACAGAGGGACAGGCACTATGCTGTCCTCCCAAGCTCACTGTCTCATGGAAAAGGGGGCCATGCCAACTAGCAAATGCCACATGTGTGGTGGGGCCAGGAAGGAGTTGGGTGCTTCAGAAACTGGGAAGGGGCATCATTTCAGTCTCAGTGGTGGGGGTCATGGAAGGTTCCACTCAGTGCATCTTGTGTGTGGTGAAAGCTAAGGTGTAGACCAGGGCCTTTGAAACCACTGGGCACTGGAGATCCAATGCCACCTTTGCCTGCTTGTCGGAAGCCTGCAGAAGCACTGAGACCCAGGGAGCCAATCACCATGGGCTCCAAAGGAAAAGAAAAATGCAAAATCAGAAGGAGTAAATGGCCCATTAAATGTCTACAAAACGCGCTATGATGTCACTCAGTCGACTGCATCTCCACTCACCTCTTCCACACTTAAATATAACATATAGTTAATGTGGCATGTGGGTAAATTAAATGGGCTTGATATGATTAGGGGTGAGTGCTGCAAGAGTGCCTGAGGCGGAGGGAAATTCTAAGCCAGTTGTGTTGGGAGTAGCACGGAGCGGGCTGAGGACTGCAGATAAAGGTGCAACGTGGACACCGTGATGCGATGGGGAGTAGCTCGCCCTGTCGGGTCAGCAGGCCCTGGGGGAACTGTGTGTTTATCCGGTGTGTGTGTGGGGGGTGGGGGGCGATTGCGCAGACAGGGGCCCAAGAAGTGGGGAAGATCTGGAAGGGTCCTGCCTATAGCTTCCCAGCTTCCCGAGCACCGATGCTTCTGACCGCCCTGAATCTTCGCATCCTCCACATTCCGGGGCCTCGTGCACGCCGCTCTCCAGCCACAGCCGGCGCCACTGAAGATAAACACGCATCCCACAATTCACCGTGGTTTGTCTTCCCCTCCAACTCCAGATGGCCTATCTGGGGACAGCCGAGGCCCCTGGGTGCGGGCCGTTGCCGTTTTTGATGAGCTGTGCACATATGGATACCCAAACATCTGGAGCGGCCATGTGCTGCTCTGGGCAGGCCAGCCCTGGTGAGCCAATCAGGGACCCCCGGGCTCCGGGGGGGTGCGCGCGGCCCCGCCAAGTGAGCACGGATAAATTATTCATGACCGAGTTATTTGTGGTGCAAGGGGTCCATCAGCTACTTTGATTAAAAATCCAGTGAGTAATGAATATGCAAACGCCAGCGACTGCTCCGAGCAACAGATTTGTCAAATTGTCTATACTTCACCGAGATAAAGGAAAATCTCCTGGGGTCCCGAAATTGAAAAACCGCACCGTCAAATCACAGCATTATCTTAATTATCAAATCTCCTTGGCCGTGCAAATACCCCGCGTGAAGCTGAGCAGGGCGTTGGAAAAAAAAATCAAGAGAAAGAGATATATTTGTCTCCGAAACAGGGGCCTGGCTAGTGAGAAACAGGCTGGTGGAGGAGAAGCGATTTCAATTCACATGGTGACTCCACAGCCATTTAATTATTTTAATTAGGCTTAATTAGTGGTAAATTTACAATGATATGCTTGATACCTGGCATTAAATCTTTCATGCATAAATGTTTTGTTAAAATGAGAAAAAGGCAAGTGGCATTTCGCCAGCAATTACTGCTGAATGTTCTAATGAAGGATTAGGCTCAGCGGTGATTCATGAAGACAGGCGGGCACCAGACTTGTTTACGAGGCATCAGCTCCATAACTCACTCGGCTCCCACCCGAATCGTCGCTGTCCTTGTCAGTTTCAGGGAGCACCTGCTTGGGGTGAGGGCCTGGGTGGTGGGGGCAGGGGCTGGGTGCTCAGCTCAGAGCCCCAGGCCCTGTGTGTGTGTGTGTTAGACCCTCCAACTCCCCCCACCCCAGAGGGACTTCATCTGTGGTGTATCAAAAGCCACAGTGAGGAGTTAGGGAATGGGATCATGTGTTACAGAACAGGGTGATTGTCTGTCCGTGGCCCTGGCTAAGTTTGTGAGCGCCTGGAATTGCCCTGCACACTCTCTGGGCCTGGAGCAGAGCCGGCCTGCAGGACAAGTTGGCTGGAAGGATGGGGCCCTTCCTAAGTTGTAGCTGAGCTGTGCTATAGCCCAGCTGAGGAGTAACTAGTTGTGGAAACTACTACCTGTTTACTAAAGAGGCATGCCATACTAAAGTGTGACGTACTCTGGGCTGCAACAGGTGGCAGTTCCTGCGGGGCAAGTCTGGGGATCCTGACATGATGCCTCCCACTCTTGTCCTGTCCCTGGGTGCAGGGTCCTCCTGTGACTCAGTTACCAGGGAACGAGGACTTGTTCGCTGCACTCAGAGACCAGCTTCAGCTGTCCCCTCCCCGCAAGGAGGAAACACAGCAGCTCACACCTGGACCAACAGGAATGGAGAAGAAAATGAAGCAAACTACACACCTGGCCATAGAAACCTGTAGAATCCTAGTGTCTGGTGGCTCTGTCCCCGGCTACGGGCTGCTTGGATCCTGGCCACGGCCTAGTTGGGTCCTGGCCAGAGCTCAGAAGTCCCCAGAGTGACCCCAGGGGCCGTTCGCAGGTCCTCACTTCACTTTCCCACTTGAGGCTCCCCCAGCAGCAGCTCCTGCTGCTCCCACTAGAGAAGGAGGCTGTGCTTAGCATGTCAGTGAGGGTGGCTGGGGGGACCTGGCCTCCTGCCTCCCTCCTTTCAGTCCAGCACTTGATCCCCCGGTCACCTTCCCTCCCCAGGCTCCTCCACATCCTGCTCCCTTCTCATTAGCTCAAGCTCCTCTTAATTCAGTGCTAATGCCTTTGGCTCCAACTTACCCACTTCCCTGGAGAGCCCTGATGTTGTGTTTCTTAAGCCCATCTTGAGTCTCTAGTCGATGAGCCTGTTTCTTGGTTTTAGTCCCTTAATGGGCTTTCAGAATTTTCTGTCTCAGCTTTTCTTTCCCTTCACAAGAAAAAGATGTGACTATTAATGAGGAGAACTTTTAAAAAATGTCTTGGTTGTTAAATCAGTTTTTTTTTTTTTTACTCATTCAAAGGAGTGTTTTTGTAGCCGGGTGGGTGTTTCTGTCTTCAGCGTAGCCACTGCTTCTTTCCAGCAGAAGGGAAATCCCACGAGGCCAGGGACCTCGTCAGTCTTGTTTCCTATTTATCTCTAGTTTGTCATAGCGCTTGGTACACACATAGGGCAGGGGACCTCTGTTGGTTGGATCCTGCCCAGTATATCTAACCACTTCAAGGGAAGAGGTATTCAGAGCTTCATCTGTGAAAGTTAGAATCCATCTCCCATTGCATTGTTGGAATACGATACCTATTTGTTGAGTGGGAAAAACTTACATCCATACATTCTCCTTACCCAACAGGGCAGACCCCAAATAATGCCCCATATTTATCCTGTGGCCTTGTTCCCCTCTAAAACAATGGCATGTACCCCAAGATGTACCATGCTTCTCTTGGAGAAATAATGATTTGAGAGTCTTATCAGACTGCATCATGGTTTGGTGCCAAGAGGTGGGAGCCCCAGACTAGAGGCCATAAGGAGAGAAGGGGACCTTTCAGATGAGGAAGAAGAGCTATGAGAGGGTCAGAGGAGGGGATCAGACCCTACCCCCCAGTGTGGAAATTTGGAGCTCCTGAGGAGTCATTTCATGGAGGAGCTTCACACACTCTACCCTTCTGGATAGGTCAGATAATGTGGGCCTGAGAACAGCTCCTGTCCAGGCGGAGGTGACAGGCCAAGTCTAACCACAGGAGAAGGCTCTGCCACAGATAGTGTGGGGGCAAGATCCACAGACCACAGGGTGGGAGCTCCTGGAATCCAAGGAGGAAGGGTGATGGGAAGAAGGCAGGACTCAGACCACTTGCTGACTAATAAAACTGCGGTGATGGACATTGCAATGATGGCAGAGTGAACACATGTTTACTGTCACTCTCTCTCCAATCCCTACTAAAATCACAATGAAGGAATGAGAAAGAGGCAAAATTCCACTTTGGGGAAAGAGTCAGACGGGATGACATCAGGCAAGAGAGTCCGGTGAGATTTCTGAAGCTGGGTGGTAAAAGAGCTAGCAGTAGATAACTCATCAGATGGTAAGCCAGGGCGCGTATAAAGGTAGGCGAGTGGTGGGGAGCTGTGGAGATCACATGAAGCAGATTGTTTCCCAGTGTAGCGCCCCCAGAAAGACTCAGGAGCTGAAGGCACTGGGGACCTCTGAGGCTGAGGTGTGGGTGGGGCTGACAACAGCAAACTGGTAGGAATATGTGGTTCATGGTGTGCTGTATCACCCAGACCCTCCCTCAGAACTCACTTCCCCCGCTTCCAGGGATGCTGTTGGTCGACAGCTCTGGCAGATGCTCCTCAACAGGAGTCACCCTCCACTAGGGAAACACCTTGCGTGTGTGCATGCTCAGTCATGTCTGATTCTTTGTGATGCCATGAACTGTAGCCTTCCAGGCTCCTTTGTTCATGGGGTTTTTCAGAAAGAACACTGGAGTGGGTTGTCATTTCCTCTTCCCAACTCAGGGTTGAACCTGTGTCTCCTGCATCGGCAGGCAGATTCTTTACCACTGAGCCGCCTGGGAAGCCCAAGACAGTAGACTCTGAGATGGGATTGTGGAGCTGAGCTACCTTTCACAGGGTGGCTAGTGATGACACGTCCATCACTGGTGGAGTATAGGTATCTCCTGGTGTGCTGTCGTGATGCAGCTGTTACCACTTTCACAAATAGTGCACTGAAAGGGGATACCAGTGGAAGGCAGAACCCTGGTGGGAGCTGCATTCAAGACATTTGAGAAATTCTGGGGAGGTAGTGATTATGAAGACTATCAAGTTAAGTGTCTTTTGCTAAGGACAATCAGTGCTTTGGAGAAAGAAGTCAAAGCCCAAGGGTGGTTATTCCCCAACTAAAGACCAAGTCTGAAAGCCAGTGAGCCCAACTGGCAGCTTATAAAAGGAACTTTAACTGTTGCAACTGGAGGGCAGAAAAAGCTGAGGATCAGATGCTGGGCTTAATTATAAGGGTAGCAGAGCTCTAAAGAGATTGGATTCCCCACCTCAGGAAGTTGGTCATGCCAAGATCAGGGCCATGAATGGGAAGGAGTGGGATGCTGAGAACCGGGTGGGGCCACCTAGGCTGATGCACTCAGACACCTTGAATCTCCAGATCCTTCTAAACTTTGTATACCCTCTTTTTCCTCTGTTAAAATATTGTAATTCTCTCTTTCTTGAAAGTGATACAAAGGCCTGTCCCCTGTGAGGCAATGCATGCCTTTCTCAGCATTGAATTCCTTCTCCCTTCCTGATCACCTGATCAATCATGATACATCTGTTAGAGTGACGGCATATTGGGGTGGCTAACAAAATGGAGTCTTGACCCAGGTCAACTTGATCCAGCTCATAAGGTATCAGCTAGGTCCACAGACCTACCCATCATTCATTACCTAGACTTCAAATGAATGCTTGTAATGGACATACTTAGTAGTTGGCAGAACTACTCCTAGACATGTAGGGTGAGACTCATTGCAGAGAGGGCCCAGTGAAAGCCTCTGAAACTGTCTCCCCACCCAGAGCCAAAGCAGGAAATAAAAAGCAGTATCATACCCCAGTTTTGCCAAGAGAATGCACTGGTCATAGCAAACACCCTCTTCCAACAATACAAGAGAAGACTCTACACATGGACATCACTGGATGGTCAATACGGAAATCAGGTTGATTCTATTCTTTGCAGCCAAAGATGGAGAAGCTCTGTACAGTCAGCAAAAATAAGACCAGGAGCTGACTGTGGCTCAGATCATGAATTCCTTATTGCCAAATTCAGACTTAAATTGAAGAAAGTAGGGAAAACCACTAGACTATTCAGGTATGACCTAAATCAACTCCCTTATGATTATACAGTGGAAGTGACAAATAGATTCAAGAGATTAGATCTGATAGACAGAATGCCTGAAGAACTATAGACGGAGGTTCCTGACTTTGTACAGGAGGCAGTGATCAAGACCATCCCCAAGAAAAAGAAATACAAAAAGGCAAAATGGTTATCTGAAGAGGTCTTACAAATAGCTGAGAAAAGAAGAGAAGCAAAAGGCAAAGGAGAAAAGGGAAGATATACCCATCTGAATGCAGAGTTCCAAAGAGAGATAAGTTCCAAGGAGTGATAAGAAAGCCTTCCTCAGTGATCAATGCAAAGAAATAGAGGAAAACAATAGAATTGGAAAGACTAGAGATCTCTTCAAGAAAATTAGAGATACCAAGGGAACATTTCATGCAAAGATGGGCTCAA